TTTGTTTATTATGTGCATCCCGGTTGCAAAGCTCTCCACACTTTTAACCTGATGGTCCATTTAGACTAATGTAGTGCGCTGACCAATCAGGAAATCCTCATGATTACAGCCGAACATTTTGCTTCTGGGGGGGGACATAACAAAATAGAGAGAGGAGTTTAGATTTCCACGTGCGTAAAGCCCTACAGCTCGACAGACTGCAACTAAAAGCGTGAGCAGTGAGAAGAGAAAATGCTTTTTATTCCCCCGCCACTCTGGTCTCCTTGAGAAGTTGTAGCAAAGATGTACAGGGAACACTGTTGCCATCAAACACTGCAAATGGCCACAACAGAGGACAACATCTCATTCATCCACTGAGTTGATGATGATGATGATGATGTCAGTCACGTCTGCGAACAAACTCTGTGGCGTGACAAAGGAGAGTGGAAGATTCACAGTCATGTAATCGCAGAATAGAGGCCTTTGTGAGGTCTGGACCCCGCTGTGTTAGCATCACAGCTCATCTGCTAATTACGCCATCAAATCCAGAGACTTGGCCATCCATAGTGGGCTGTTCATCTCATGACTTAAACATCGAGTTGGGGGGGGCGGGGCACGATTAATCCCTGCAGTTAAACCGGTGTGAGGACTCATTTCTTTACTCGATTTGACAGGCAGGGCGATAGGATTTAAAAGTGTATCAGATGACAATATTTAGTTTCTGGCCCTTTGTTCACCTTGTCAGACCCACACAGTGCAATCCCGTCAGCATGTTCAGGTATGAACGCTGATGATCTTAACGACAAGCCTTGATCACAGAACAGTTCTCATTCCCATCCCAAGTGGGAACATGACACAGTTTGGCGGAGCCATTTGTCTGGTTTGCCACCTCATGGCTGTTGGCGGTTTACTCTCTGCAAATATGTCGACATCAAAAGGAACAGCTGAAGCACTTCTGCTTTGTTTACTGTCAGGGGCTCCGTCTTTGTCTTTGTGAGCAGTCTCCGCCAATAAAGGAAGTAATAAGTCAACAGTGTGGTCCCTCCTGGCAACAATCCCACTGATAATAGCTGATACACGGGACAGATAAGGAATGGTATCAGCATCAATTTATTCACCTACAATAGTTAGGCGAGTTAAGAAAAGAACTGGAGATGATTAGAAAGATGGATTACATTAGAATGAAATGATTTCCAATGAAAATGTAATAGAAGAGGGCTCTTAAATTTTCCTCCCCAGCATCAATATTTTATTTTAATCCTTTGAAATGTGAAGAAAACTGCAACACTTCCCCTCCCCAAATAAATCATAATACCTAAACTGTAATCTTTAAAATCGGTACAACTTATTTGATCCTGTACAGTGTTTATACAGTCCCTTATATACACACACATTAGTATGCTTGAATCAATACATGCTTGTAGTTTTATATCGCATCACATGAAATATACCCGATGCCCAACAAGTAGGAAATCAAAGTGGACACATGGATGGAAGCACAAAGTTTGTTAATGTGTTAGAATAGAAGCTTTAAAAAAGGGAAAGTCCACCCCAAAATAAAAAATACATACAGTATCTCTATCTCCAAAACTAAGCAAAAATATGCATTTTGATTTTGGAGTGAACTGTCCCTTTAAGAAGGACGTTTAAAAAGAAATACAACTTCTGTATTCCCTTCAGTAAATTGCTTGCTTATCTCTTATAAGCAATAAAGGACACTTTTCTATAACTGCAAGCGTATAATAATGTCCCCTCCGGGCCACATGCAACAATACAAGTTCTTTGTTTGTATAGCAAAATAATATGGTTGCATTTTGTAATTTCCTATATAAATACTGAACCACAAGACTATCTTGGGGGCCAAATAAAAACACAATAACTGCATCCATATCACTCCAATTGAAGTAGAAGATGTCGTTATCGGCAAAGTCACAAGGAAAAACATTCCAGGCACACAGAAAGTCTGGTTTCCATTACTAAAGTCACAGTTTATCCTTTTCTCTAGATTTCTGTCAAAACAAGAGGAGGAAAAACGGGGAAGACGTTCATTTCTCTCTGAAGAGGAACATGTTACATAATATATTTCCATCCAAAGACAGCCACCTTTGTGAAGGCCTCATCCAAGTCGATGCAGAGGGCACTTCTGACAAACTCAAACACTCTCAGTCCGACACAGCGAAGGGATATAAACCTGTCTTGCAGGCTGCGCCCAACTACAGATAAACACAGGTCTGTCACGTCTCAACTTTATTACGCGAGTGTGAACACGCTTCTCTGGAACACGCTTCTCTGGAACACGCTTCTCTGGAACAGCACAACTAAAAGGAATACTAGAAATACTGTAGCTCTAATTTAAGTTTATAGTTAATCCTCTCAAACCTTTCTCCTCTGCTCAATCTCAGACGTACTTGAACATTATGAGACTGTATATTATTGCATTAATCTTTCATTCAGTGCCCAAATAAAGAACACAAATAATATTAAGTTACATGTTGAGTCTCCAGTGTAAACGGAGCAGAAACCACATTCAGTGAATGACAGCGTACTCTGTGCACGCTAGATAAATTTGCTAAACAGCATAAAGCAAATATACAGTATGTCTTTCAGGACTTGAGTAATCCTGTGGTTGAGCGTGTGTGGACATGCAGCTACAGACTCGGGTCCTGTGTGAACAGTGATGACAACAGTCTCATACAGACGAGTTAAAATGCAAGTGGAACACATGGTGTTACTATTAAAAACAGATTTGTTTGTGCAGTAATGGCAGAGTGGGCTGAAAGAGAGCAACAAGGGAAGGTGGAAAAGGCAAAATTAGGGAAATAAATTTCAGGCTCATCTTCGTGGCCCCAGAGGGGAATCACCTGCATTCAGAGCCCTCCTTTGGCCCAACATCTAAACCTGGCCTGGCCCACCTTTCTACAGGACCTGCAGGTCATACTGAATATGAATGGCCTTGCAATGGGCAGACAAAGCTATGTGTAGACACAGCAGAGGCAGTCAGCAAACTGGCTACAGCCAGGTTCCAGTGAATGCAAATGTGAACAATTAAACTTTATCGCCCATGTGTAAAAGCAAGGTGTGACTTTTCACAGTTTACATTGCATTAACGCAACAAGAATTCTTGCAGACTCCTCAAACTGTCGTGCCTTTCCCTGCAAAATGTTTTAGTGGCAGGAAATAAAAACTAGATGCCTTTTTTTTTTTTTTTTTTAAACACATTGATTGTTTTATTTGGGATGGACAACAAACCCTTTGAGACCCATCTGCATGAACTCTACTCAGCTGATGGAAGGGCAGCTTGGCTGGCTTCACGCCCATTAAAATGACTGTTTCCCCGACATCTACACACTGATCAGCAGGCCGCACAGGGACCCTAAACATTTAAGTTCTCATCAGATTGTACTGAGCACATCCAGCCCCTCTGGACACTACATGGGATATCACTAACCTTTTGGGGGTTAAATACAACCAGAGTGTACTCTCCTCCCCTTCCAACTCTTTTACCACAACCTCTCCACATGCTGACCATTCCTCTGAAGTTGTTACAGTGGGTGGAGTGCTGGGTGGAGTCTGTGTGTTTGTTTTGAGTGTTCGAATGTGTGCGTGATTGCGTGGGCGGGGGTTCAGTATGTGCATATGAGAGTGTTTTTCAGAGAAAGAGAGGGAGGATGGGGCAGAAGTACTTCCAGAGAAAAAAAGGTTTGTTTACGGTAAGAGAGGCAGAAACTATCAGTGTTACTTATACCGTATCACACTCTGGTTAAGGGGAGCAGAAGAACAGCAGAGGCCCAAAGGGGAGAGACTGTTTCAAGGGTCAGTCAGATTCCAACAAAGCACATCAGCATCATGTAAACACTGAACCAGGCTTCGGTTCACACGTAACCTCCACATCTGGTCCATCCGTTTAGGATAAAATACAAATTTTATAAGCACTCATGGTTTGAGCTTCAGAGAAAGAGAAGAAAAAGATCATTTATCCAGAGTGGATTTATACTTGTACGTATATTGTATATAGCTGTTAAATATTTATACCTACATCTGTTCTACTTTTTTTTGCTGCCCTTTTTTATTCTTATATATATTTTTCCTTGTTTATTGTAAAATAGTGTATTGTATGTACATTGAGAGCGGAGTGGAAACCAGAGACAAATTCCATGTATGCGTACGCATACATGGCCAATAAAGCTGATTCTGATTTGTTTCGTAGCAATGCAGAGTGGTTTGGGAGGCATAACAGATGCCAGCAGGGATAAGAGGAGGTGGCTATTTGGAAGAGAATTACAGGAAACAAGCATGGTGTCATTAAGCAAGTGTAAAGTTGGACAGAGTCCACTCTAAAAGGCTCTACATGGTGCTCACAGACCTGTGTGATTAAACAGGCCTAAAACAGCAACACTTTTGCCAATGTTACTTTAATTGTGGTGAAAATAAAGCAGAGCCAAAGCAACAGATACGTTTCTTGTTTGTAGTTTCTTTGGGCTGAATGCAAATAAGCAGCTGTTTACCCACATAGGTATACTAGACTGTCCACCTACTTGCAGACTTGCCAACAGTGCTTCAAATCACTGATAACGCTGCAAATTTAATTACGTTTTAACTACGATTTATAAATTATATTTTGGGGATTTTGCTCAGTGGCAAACAGACAATGTGCACATCAGACCCTCATTAAGCACATCCTTGATGGAAAAGACATGTAAAGCAGCTCTGAAGTGAAGAACAGAAGCCTATTCAGGAATAAACTCAAATGATGGATTAATATCGACTATCATGACTCAAAATACTAGCAGTTTCTCAGAAAACCTTAATTGACGCTTAACAACTCCCATATTAGAATAAATTGCTTCCGCAATTTACATATATGCCAGACTAAAGACGTCCACAAAGCAATCTTTCCCCACAAAGAAAACACGAAAGCACTTGATTCAGACGCGATTCATTCACTCCGTCTCATATCTCGCCGTTGTAAAGGTGTTCAAACTTGAAAACCGAAGAAGACCGAGCAGGCAAAAAGACCTTACCATCCACGAGCTGCAGCCCAATAAAAAAAAAAAAAAAAAAAAAATTTTAAAAAATCGGTCACCGCTCAAGTCTTCACAGTCGTTGGAAAAAAATGTCGACAAAACAGGAACGTAACACCATTTAAAATCCGTGAAGTGCGTTCAAGATTGAGCACGTAGAATCCCGTGAGTGTGTCCGCGAAGTGAGGTCCATCATCCGAGCAGCTGAAGACGAGCCTCCGTTACTACAGACTGAAGACGCTGGTCGCTTTCAAGCTGAACTTTAGCTCCTCCCACAGCGCACGCTGCCTGCAGCAGCAGCAGACTGTGTATAAAGAGCCCGAAACGCACATGGTCACTGATTGCCTCCAAATCACATCAAGTAAACCAAAGGAAGAAAATATCACCTAAATTCCAGACTATATGTTCAGTTTTCCCTCTATGTGGGGGGGAAAGCCTAAAGTAGCCTACAAGTGTTTCTATGCAAAAGCAGGTCAAAATACAAAAAACGTATTTACTATATAAATCGTAATGTAAAAATGTGTTATTGGAAATTATTTGTTGCCAAGAGCTGCAAGTACTTATGCAAATATTGTGAAGGCATTTGTCCAAACCTGAAAGTAAGAGGAAAAAAAAAAACAGGTTTTGTTGTTTGTTTTTTCATCTAGTTAATAAAAGTGTAAAAATTCTCCAAATCGCAGTGGGGCACAGAAGGTTGTATGTCCTTTAACAATAAAAGCCCAGAGTACCCTGTTCACAAATGCAAAGGTTGGCCAAAAATGCAGCAAATTAATTTTCCTGGACAAGAAAAAAATATGAATACACACAATCTGTAAAGATATTTCCTACAGTACGCTGTCAACATTGTATAGGAGTAGTGGATCCAGCTATGCATTTTTGTTTCGAAACAAATTCTTAAAGTATTTATCAAATGTGTTTTGCATTATATGGTGTTATGCATTATATAGAAGTGAAGTGACTCAAATCTTACAGCCACTTCTGTCATATTCTGACAGTGACAGTGGTTTGTTTTCTGAGAACATCTTTTCCTGCTCTCTTGTCTTTGGTAGTGTTGTTCCTTTTCACTTTTCTCGGGGCTCCCTGCAGCCGTCAAGCAATGAATGACAACTGAGAGCGTCCACCACAAAGAGAATTACAAGGGATTATGTACGAAGGCAAAGACTTGAACACAACCAGACTCAACCATTCATGTAATCTCTTTTTTTTTTTTTTGCCCCCAAAAGAATAATAAGAGCGGTGGACACATGCAGTTCTCCTTCAAAAGCTCGAAACGACAGACCGCCTCGCCTCAACTTCTCCTCTGGACGACACAAAACAAATTCTCATGCATAACACACAACCATTCTTCACACCCGCATTGGAGAAGATGACATTAATAATTAGTGTCTAGCTCCTTGCTTCCAGTGACAAGTGACAATGTGAGAATTTGTCAGATAGTTTGACTGTTAACACCAAGAAATGCGATGACAGTAACCCAGCCATCTGCTGAGCGCTTGAGGCTGCATCCTGATGGCCCGGTCTGACAGAACTCTGACACTTTATTCTGAAAATATTGTCACTCTCTGACTGGTTTTGCATGACTGTGCCTCAGACAAAGCAAAAGCCAACCACTCCCAACTGGAAAAATGTGTGACAGGTGGGGGTTAAATCAATGACATGTAATTCTCTCTGTCCCTGTCTTTCTTTTTCTTTGACTATAGGCAAGTCTCTCTCTCTCTCTCTCTCTCTCTCTCTCTCTCTCTCTCTCTCTCTCTCTCTCTCTCTCTCTATTATATGTTTTCTGATAGACAGACGCCAAATCAAGGCTGCTCTCCTTTATCTGCCAGGCCCTCAGTAATCCCTCAAATTCAATCAAGGATTACTTTACTTCTGAGAAGATTAAAATCATCCAACTTGTACAAAAGTCAGGGTTGCAACAACAGGGAGGTGGATGTACCACTCAGCAGTATGAATTCCCCTACAAATGGGTGGAATTTACTCTATTGCTTTTCTATTTGTTCTGCAGTGATATTTGGTTAATTAACATACAAATACATTAAACTACCCAGTCCCCCAAATTGAGATTAAGTTATTCAAAAACAAATGGATACAAAATTACAAGTGCAAGTTAGCCTCTATCTCACACTAAAAAAAAAAAAGGAGAAAAAATAAAGTGGTGCGCTGCCAGACGTTGGCTCCCCCAAAATGAAGATGCAAAAACAAGATGCTGAGTATAGCTCTGCAGCTCTGGGTGAATCACTTTGATAAGAATTAAGTGGCCTCCTGGTAATGAGCACGCCGGGGTTTATTTGGAGCATTTTACACTTTGAAGAAATCATTTTACGAAAAAAATACATCACTTCAAGCTGTTTTTAAGTCCTGAAGGTTGAATTTCGCAAACGCTCCGCGGTCGTTGATCACATCACCCTTAATCTGCCGCTGCACTCAAATAATATCCCCTTGTGGTGGCACGCAAACGCACCAGGAAGCATATTAAGGTCACGGCCACCCATGGAGCTTTTACTGGGGTTAAGTGTATGACAGACTCTTTCAGTAATACACAACACCAGATTTGGAGAGTGTTTTGTGAATGTCTCCACCCAATAGGCTTTGGTCAATGAGATCAAGTCATCGGTTCATCTTTCATCATCCGGCTCAAATGCACTCTAAATTTAGATGACCTTGATTGTGTGCAGTGATTAGCGTCAGCTGCATGGGCGACAAAAATATGAACTTGCAAATGTGAAAATTGAGATTGAGAGGTTTTAAAAATGACTTGATTAGTGAATTATGAAGTGTAATTTTTAGCTATGGTAGCAATATGGCTTCAGGGATTTTTGGTCAGTTTGTCAGTTAACCGCTTTGGTCCCCAGACTGAAATATCTCAACAACTATTGGATGGATGGCCATGAAATTTGGTACAGATATTCATGGTCCCAAGAGGTAAATCCAAATGGCTTTGATGATCTTCTGGATTTTCATGTAGCGCTATCTAGGCTTACTTTGTGTTGAGTGATAATTAGCAGATGTTGACAACTATGATGGTGAAATCGGTAAACATTATACTAAACATCAACATGTTAGCATGCTGACATACTTTACTACAGCACAGCCTCACAATGTAGGTGCAGGTGCCTCCCACAGAGCTAACAGCACTATGACTCATCCCCGTGTCCACGACTTGTCCCACTCTAACAGTACCAAAAATGTCCCCACATCGTAGATGCCCTCTCTGTCGCTCTCTCTCTCTACACAGGAGGCCTTGTCTCTTCACACTGATGATTCATGACTATTCAACTGATGCAGCACACCGAACTGAAAGTGCCGCATTCGTTTCCCCTATAAATGATCCTGAGTCTAGTACTTTGACAGGCTGGTTATATATCATGGGTGGAAATGACTTGCTGTTTTGATATCTTCAAAATAAAACTGCAAATGCTGTTTTATGCACATTTGGGAAACCAACAGAAACTGATGTTTGTTGGACCAGATGTCAGTAACATTTGTGCAAATGTGAAACCATCATCATACATTTAGAGTTTGACTAATGGCGACCCACATTACTCAGCCAATGAACTATTTTGAACCCTGATATAGTGTAAATCAAAATGGCAAATAATCATATTTTGTCACTTACCTCTAATATCTAGTCATGCAGAGAGTTGTGTTCACATCAACAAAAGATGACATTTGTATTGATGATTTTATGCAAGCATGTTCACCCTGACAATGCTAACATGTTGATGTTTAGCACGTGCCATGTTCACCATCTTAGTTTAGCATGTTAGCATGCAAACACACGCTAATTAGCAAATAACTCTGTGTCCCAACTTCATACTAGGCTTAATACAGATTCTAAGCAGGTTTTTAGTAGCTATGTACTGGAAAAGTAATTATTTGAGTGAACTGTTGAAGCCATACAAATGTATATAAGAAGGTTAAAGCGCCTTATTTTGTTGTTAAAGTTAACCAAGTAAGTTTGTTGACTAAACCTAAGGACTACTTTTCCAAAATGCAATTCACAAAGGAAATGAAGGGAGCAGCCAACAGCTGAAAAAGATTAAACAAATTTTGGGCGGAGGTGAAACAGCTCCAAAACATTTTAGAAAACAGGAAAATAAGTATTACATTCATAATGGAGAGTATGAGTTTTTATAATGACACCACAAATAAAATTCCTTTCCCCTTTATTGTATTTGAGTCAAGGCAGAGATATCAGGCCCACAATACCCCAAGATCTGAGCACACAAAACTATACGCATGGCTAGACACCATTAGAGGTATGTGAGAGAATATGTTGTTTTTTTTTGTAATTTGTACGAACTGACCGTTTAAGAAACCACAGAATGTGCCCATGTCGTGGTAGAGTTGTTGGTAACAGCCGGAGAGACCGCATCAATGAGAAAAAAGAGAGTAAATCACTGTTGCCGCAGGTGGCAGCTCATGTCCATATCAAAGACAGCCTTCCCATCCATCCCTGCAGCCTCATAGCCACCTCTCCTGTCTCTCTCTCCACCTGATACATGTCAGAAGTAGGCCTGTGTTTATAGTGACAGGGAACAAATTAAACAGGAGATGAAAAACATGTCATCTGCTTTAACTGGCTCTTTCAATCCTGACATGTTCAATCATCCCAGGGTGAGTTTTTCATGGTTTTTGGTTCCCCCATATAATTATAGCTTAAGCATTGGTAAAGAGGTTTACCAGCTAACCTGTCAACACAGCTCGTCATAGAAAATAATATGTAAAACTTGACAAAAGAAAAAACTTGAATTAAGCTGAAGATGTGGCAGGAAAGAAGGATGACCAGTAGTGGTAAAATTACAAAAAGTAATACGCACAAACAAAGAAAAACAGATAAAGACAGAGCCCGACATGTGGCAAAGATTAAGAAATGGACTCGAACCCTTGACGCTACGAGGAGATACTGGAGCTAGCTGAACTGTTTGGATGCATCTTTATCTTCCATAAAGATATCTGCTGTCTGACAGCTTCTGTGCACACACCGGGGGAAGATGTTATGAGATTATTACATGTAAATGTGGTCCGGTTTTCTCCTGAGAGCTTGGGGGAAGTGACGTCAGTGACGGCCAGCGCAGTTAAAATGAAGAAGTCAGTGTGTGTGTGTGTTTGCTCAATACATGGATTTTCTTTGTCTGCCTCTTTCTCTGTGGTTTTCAAGCAGGGAGGCTGTGGATGCCGCAGTAGGAGGGCATAGGTGAAGGTCCCGCACAGCTGCACAGCGGAAGGGGGAAGGCTGCGGAAGACAGACTCCAGGCACTGGGAATGAATTAATGAGTTTCTGATTTCTTTATGAATTTATGAATTTATCAGCACAAAGAACTTTATTAATCTTGACATTAAATATATAGCATAGTGTTAAAGGAGAATATCATTAAATGTAACAAATTGCCTTGGTGTTTCTTAGGTCTAAAGGCAGGTTTATTCATTAAGTGTTTTGAAATTAAAAGCCAGAAAATCTAAATTTGGACCTGCGCCATCGAGGTTTGTGTTACAAAAAAACTGCTAACAGACAGAAGGAAAGCTGCTTGGATAGCAATGCAAGATATTAGTAATCCTACACAGGTATTTTAGTAGTTGTAGTAGTGACAATAGCACAAATGTAAAGTGTAGGGACAAACAAATTTGCAGACCCACAGCCTTTTAGTTTTAAAGTATTCATTGTTTTTTTTCCCAATGCAGTTACACATTGGACTGAATTAGATTTTGGAAGTTAGAGGTGGTAGTATTCCTGACATTTTGTGGACAGTTTGGATGAAATAGTTCATCAGTGTTTTCACTGCTTTCAGTAGAACCAGAGCAGCTATTGGTCTGTTTTTTCCACAAGAAAGCCCCACATCATCACATGTTTCACTCTTGGGAATACTTGTGGCGTTTCTGTTTAGAGCAATTTGGAGAAAAAAAACTCAAACCTTCACAATCAGATTAAAAAAATTACAGCTGACAGTATTCATGTTCAACATATGTGAGGGCAATAAAACAGTGACTGAAAGGTACGTGAATCTCTTTCTCTGCTGTAGTCAGGATCCAAATTGGTCACACAGCTGGCAGAGTCGATGAAACATTGATTGAATCGACCTTTTTAACTTTCCTCGTCTTTCACAATTCTACCTTGAGTGAGCTCAAATGTTCATATTCACTTCGGTTGATTCGGTTTGACGTCAGCACACCCGATGAGGGCATTCACAAAATGAACAGGTTCAGTCAGCATCGTTCATAATAATACCAAGAGCACAGGTTCTGCAACCTCAACTTCTCAAAGGCAGACTGTGTGACAAAACAGATGAGAGAAGAGACTCCACGCCATCAGAGGATGATCTAGTAACAGATGAACTGCTTCAGGGAGAATATTAACATTTAGATTTTCTGCCAGGTCACAAAGTGCAGCGTATGAGCGCATTATTAGCTCCCAGTCTTACTTCTAAAGGTCTTTGGGGCAGTGGGGAGACACAATGTTTTTGTTGGCTGTAACGGCATTCAAACAGTAAGAAATCAATAATCTATCTCAGTATGACCACACGCTAACCTTTTAAGCACCCAAATAATGCTTTAACCGCCAAAAGGAACTGGATATGCACTGTGCTTTCCCAATCCCTGTTGGTTTATTAGCTTGTTGTTGGACCACCAT